GCCAATACCAAGTTGCAGAATCCTGTCGCTCCCCCCCCCCTCCTCAGGCCTGGCCTCACCATCTCCTTAAAAGGCATTTTGAGGCACAAACACCTCAACACCCGGCAGGCACCTCCCTGGGCTGGGACAGGGCAAATGGGCAGGCCAAGGTCCAGGAGCCTAGAACCAACGCTCCCTCTAAGCTGTGGAGTCTTGTGAGCAAAAATTCTCCTTTGTGAGCTCCTGCCATTAAAGTTGGGAGCGAGCGATTGGGCTGCTGCCTAAATTAGTTTGCTCTGGAGCCGTCCCTTCCTGAGCTGAGAAAAAAAGGTGTGAACCAGAGGCTAAAAAATTGTGAGCTAACTCACACTGACTCAGCTTAGAGGGAACACTGGTGGGTAGCAGGTCGTCTGGTGGAGGGGAGGTGGGTGCCCTGTAACCCGGCCAGTGTGGCTGATGCCACCCCCTCGCCTTCCCCCTGCAGCGATAGTCCTCGTGATGGGGAAGGAAGGTGTCCACGGCGGCTGCGTGAACAAGAAGTGCTTTGAGATGGCCAACCACTTGCGGCGGTCCCAGTATTGACGTGCCTTCCTGCGTGGCCCCGCCCGTGGTACTACTGATGGAACGGTGTAAGGATGTCCAAGGTGGCGGCGACTGCCCAGGGCCCCCGGCCCTGCCATCGTGGGACCGACCCCGGGGCCAGATCGCCGTGTATTCCAGCCCTCCGCCCCACCCCTTGCCTCTCCCCCCACCCCTCCCAGTTCTATTGTGTTTTTTTTCTAACCCCGGCACCCGCACTCCTTTTTCTTCTCTCTTTGCCATTTTTTCTATCACAAATCCTTATTGCTGCCAAATTTTCTGGTTGTTACAAGGTGTAGTTTTTTGGTTAAGAAAACTATATTGGAACAAGAAAAATAAAAATAAATTGAATTCTACAGCGCTCGTCATTGGGAAGGGGTTCGCTGGCTTCCTGGATCTAACAGATGGCGGGCACCTGTGGGCCCATTGGGTCTCTCTCCATCCGACTGGGCAAGGGTGTGGCTGCCCATAACCGGTCCCCAGTCCTCTGGGTCAGTGGGCCCCTCGTGTGGGGCAGGAGGAGCGGATGTGGCCAGCCCGGGTGAGACACACGCTCCCCCTAGAGATGCAAATGTCTGAGCTCCTCTTCCTTGTTTCTCTGGGGCAAAGGGGCCGGACAAAGCGTGCCTGTCCCTCGGAACAATGGGGCTGTGTTCCGGCGGCGCACAGAGGCTGCACTGCCTGGGCCACGGGCGCAGGTCTGGGGGGACGTTTCATCTTCGGGTGGCACCGGGGCCGCTCCCATCTGCCCAACATGGCAGGTCGACTGTGCTCCCAGAACAGGAAGGGGAGAGTGTGGCCAGGGAGGCTTGCGGATTGGCCCGCTGGGAGGGTCCTTCACCTGCCCTGGGCGAGGCCTCCCAAAGTCCAGGAGGTGGACCCCTCCCTGCTGGTAAACAGACAGGCTGAGTCAGCCACTGTTGCCTTCTGGGTGGCTGAAAGGGCAGGCTGCCCACGGCCCTTCCTGGCCAGGCAGTGGGACTTCTCTCGGAGCCTTCCCAGGAGACCAGGCCTCCTCTCCTACGGACCCCCCTCCCAACTGGGGGTACAGTATGGTGGGGGGGGGGAGATCTCTGGCCTGGGCGGGTACAGGCCTGCCTCACAAGAGGTGACAGACCGCCAAGGGCCCTCCTCAGCCACTTTCTTGTGCTCCAAAGCCCCCTGAAGAGGGGGCGTACAAATACCCGAAAGAATAAACCAGCCAAGCCCCCGTCCTGTTAAACCAACTCCCTTTTAATAGGTTACAGTGTAGGCTGCGGAAGGGTCGGCCTCTTCCCACAGAGAAAAGTGTACATACAAAAGCTCTGAGAGGACCCCAGACCCCTCTCCCCAAATGGCTGCATTACAAGAAACCCCAATGCAGCCGAGCATCAAAGGAATGTACAGTAAAAAAAAACCCTGTGCCACCGCCCCCCCCCTGTGCAGTTAGTAGAAGGTGAAGTGAGGGCAGCTCCCGCACCCTTCCCAGGGCCGGGACCCACCTTGGTCCGGGGGGGGGGAGCACAATAGAAGATTCCCCCCCCCACCGAAGTCCTGGGTCTCAAATGGAAACGAGGCGGGCAAGTGAAACCCAGCAGAGCACGGAAAACTGAAAATGGCCTATCAAAAACTGGTGGCGGTGGGGGGCCCCACAAAAGGGAGGATTGCCCCCCCTTCAGGGGGAAGTCCTGCCTACACCCCCCCCCTCCAGGCTTCCTCCCCCTTCTGCCACCTGAGCTCTGGAAATCCACCCTGCTTGTTTGCCGCCGCCAAGATGGCTACTCTCCAAAGCCAAATGGGGAAGTGGCGTGTTGGAGCTCCTCTGGGGATCAGGCGGAGAAGGCAGCCAGCCTGAGCCGCGGGCCTTGCCCCCAAAGGACCCTGGGAAGGGTAGTCCCGGGAGTCTTTTCCTTGGGGTCAGAAGCTGGCAGCTCCCAGCACCCTCTGGGCCAAAAGCAGAGCGCCCCCAACCCCCGGCCCCATAACCACAGGCAGGCGGCACTTCCCAGGGGCCCCGGGCTCTCTTCTGGGGGGGGGCTGGCCGACGCTCCCCTCCAGCTCTGCTGCTCCGGTCTCCGCCCCATTCCAGAGACTTCCCGGTCAGGAAACGGGCGGGCGGGGAGCGTTCTGCTTTCCCCACAGGGGGAGACACCCAGTGCTCTCTGAGCCTCCCCCCTTCCCCTGCTGCCTAAGCAACTCCCCCCCCTCCTCTTCCGGTTTCCCTCCCCAAGAGGGGCAAGGGCTAGCTCCCGAACACTCCACCCGCCCCTGGATAAAAGGTTAAAACAGACGGGAAGCTCAGTGGTGAACGCAGAGGGTCCCTGCCTGAGGGGGGGTCGGCCCCCACCCCCCAGTGTGAGGCCAGGGCGGCCTGAGTGGTGGGGGCGGGAGAGGCTAGACCCGCAGAGGTCGAGGGGGGCCCTGGGGAGCGTCCCCCTCCCAGGTGCTGCTGGGCCCCTGCTCGCCCGCTTCCTCCAGGCAGGGGAGGGGGGACTGGGCCGTGCTGCCGAAGGAGGGGCCCGGGGCCGCCCCGGGGGGCGAGGCACGCAGCAGGGGGGTGCGCTCGGAGTCCTGCTCCTCTTCCTCCTCCTCCTCGCCTCTGGGAGGCGGGGGCCGGTCCGCCCCCTCCTCACCCTCCGAGTCGGAGTCCTCGGCCGACCGGATCACGCGCTGCTTGCACACCGGGCAGGTCTTCTTGGTCTGCGTCAGCCAGGGGTCGACACACTTGCAGTGGTAGGCTGGGCGGGGGGAGAGGAACGGCTCAGCCCCTCTGGCCTGGCACCCCCCCCTCCTGCCTTCAGACCCCGCCCCACCCCCGGGGGGCAGGAGGAGACCCCAGCCCAGCCCTTGCTCCCCCCCCACGCAAAGCCAGCACCTACGGGATCCCTGCCCCCCCCCCAGGAGGCAGAACTCTGTCCCCACGTCTCTCGCCCCACCCTGGGCGGTGGGTCGCCTACAAGGAGCCACCGCAGGCCCTGCTGCCCGTCTCCCATGCCCCCCGCGTCTCCTTACCGTGGGAGCAGGGCAGGATGCGCAGCCGGGCACCGTCCTCGTACTCCTCCAGGCAGATGGCACAGACGTCGTACTCGTCTCCTGAGGGGTGGGGGACAGAGAGGGCGTGGCTGCTGGAACCCCCTGCCCAGCACCCCGCACGCCACCGGCCTTCCTCAACCTACACCCCCCCACACACACACACTTCGCTGCCCTGCCTGCTACCAGGGGCGGGTCAAGAGCCCAGGTGCCCACCCGATGGGTTAGAGGCTTCCAAGGGCCGCCCTGTCGGTCTACGGAGGGACCCCCCCCCCGGAGAGCGGCCGGATTTTGGGGTCCGGAGCTCTCAACTGCTCCCTTCGCTTTGGCCTCGGAGGTGCCGCTGGACTCCGGTCCAGGTCTGGGTTAGAGGAAGTCTCTCGGCCTCCACCCCAGCCTCGTGAGAGGGGAATGCGGCAGAAGTGGCCGGGTTCCCGTGTGGGGGAATTTCGGCACACAGGCCTGGGGCTGGGGAAGAGAGAGGCCCTCCCAGAGGCAAGCACACGAGGGAGGTCCTGGGGGGGGGGCCCTTCTTCGCAGGCCTCCAGGCAGCTGAGCAGATTAGGCCGGCCGGCCCTTGTTCTGACCCAGTTCTTAACGTGCTTGGTGCTGTACAAAGCCATGCTTGTTCGAGATGGTTCTTACTGGGAAGGACTCACGTGGTTTGTGCCTGGGGATTTTGCTACGGACCCCCCCCCAAACTATCTGCAAAGGGGGGGTGGGGGCGGCTCTGAGACTGAACGTGGCTCCTCAGCACCCGGCAAAACGCGCTCCAGCCCCAGAAGGTCCCAGGCTCAATCCCCAGCAGCATCTCCTGTGGAAAGGATCTGGCCACAGGGGACGGGGGAGACCCTGGAAAGCCACACTCTCTGTCAGGGGAGAAGGGCTTGGCTCAGGAGAAAGCGGCGTCACGTGTTCAGGGGTCTGCCCTGCCTCTGTCCACGTGTTTCAGTGAACGCACAGCCCTGGAGGCCTGCCCATGCGTCCGTTTGGAAGGAAGAGCCCCTGTGCCTACGGGCTCTCCTGGACCCAGCATTCCTGGCAGAGAAGCCAGTGGATGCAGCGGCAAGAGACCCCCCTTCCTTCCAGCCTGGCCGCCTGGATCCATGCGACTGATCTCTCTCAGTCTGGAGCACTGGCTACTGCGCACCAGCCCTCCCTGGCCTGGGGCCCTCAGACTCCGTGAAACTGCCTCTCCCGGCACAGGTTGGCTCATCTGACCAGGCCCTTCTGCTGGGGCCACGCAGCCAGTGACTGCCCGTCCAGGCTTGCCTGCGGAGGTCAGGAGGGCTCCCCCCTCAGGCAGACCTGCTCAGGAGGACACTGGGGGGAAGGAGCGCGGCCTGGCCAAGGAAGCCCTGTCTCCGGGGTCTTTGCCACACATACACCCCTCCTCTGAAGCGCTGCTTCCGAGGACGATCTGAGGAGGGGGAAGGCTCCGCCTGGAATTCCTGCAGTCCCCTCCCCCCCCCCCCCCCCCCTCAAGAGGCCTGGGGTCCGGCGCCTGCCACGGAACTCTGCATGCCCATTGCCCAAAGGCCCGGTGTGTGTGTGTGTTCAGTCGGAGGCGCCCGCCCACCCGCCGCCGGGGTCGCCTGCAACGTGGGAAGGGGCCACGGAGGGGGAGTAGGGCAGGGTCGCCGCCGCCTTCTGCGCGCATGGCCGGGCCATGGCAGCTGCGGGCGCTGCAAAAACAGGAAGGCGGGCGGGCCTCTCTGCCCCCCTCCCTCCCTCGCTCGCTCGCAGCCGCCAGGCTGGGAAGGGAAGCGGTCGGAGGGCTGCTTGCTTGCTTGCTCGCTCGGCAAGGCCTTATAAGGCAAACGGCGGCGGCTCCGGGGCAGCCGCTTCCTCCCGGCTCTGAGTCAGCCCCCGGGGGGGCGGGGGGAGGGGAGGCCTCCGGGCTCTGTGCCCCCACGACCTTTGCATGCCGAGGGAGGGTCCCGGCTCCAGCCCCACTTGCCCCCTTGCTTTAGGGGAAGGGCCAGCCCTGGGACAGGCCCCGCCCAGAGCTGCTGCTGCTGCTGCTGCTGCAGCTGGGCAGAGGGGAAAAGACCGACCCCGCCAGAGGTGGCAGTGCAGAATCATCCACCCCCCTCCCTGTGCCAGTTTGCCAAGAGCAACCCCTGGAGCGTGAAAGGGCCCCCTGCTTCCCTCCCCGCCCCAGACCAACTGCCCCCCCACCCCCACCCCAGTGGGCATGCAGCTGGGACTGCAAGGGAAGCTCCACCGGGCTGCTCCTCGGCCTTCCAGTCTCGGATCTGGGGGGAGGGGGCAGCCCTCCCTGGCTTATGGACCCCTGCCTTGCTCTCCCCCCCCTGCCCTGGAACGGCTCACCGGGCAGCTGACATTATTCAGTCCCACAAGGCAGCAGCGCCCCCAGCCCACCAAGCAGAAAGCCCACGAAGCCCCCTCTGCAGCAGCCCAAGGACAATCCGTCCTAACAAGGGCACAAACGGGAAGCCAACCAGGGCACTCGGGAACAAAAGCGTTCTTGAACCGCCTGCCCAGGGCAGCCCTCTTGAGGCAGGGAACTCCAAAGGCTGGGGCCACCCCCAGGAGAGCCCTGCCCTGCCCTATTTCTTTGCGTGCTCCGGTTGATCAAACGGCTTCAAGTGCCTGGCAGAGAGAGAGACGGGGACCCAGGCAGCCCCCCTCAGGTGAGGGGTGGGGGTGGAGGAAAGGCCCACAAAAGGGTGCACAGTGGCTGCTGGAGTCAGTTCAGGCCCCACCCCACGCAAGAAGGCTCCAG